GTTTAGAATAAAAATTTTCGTTCAATTACAGTTAACTGATTTCCACACTATAGACTCTCATAGTCTTGAGAGCACATTTAATGACACATTGTTATCCCATATCTACAAACTGACAATAGAAGCATAAGTAATGATGGATAGTGATCATTATGTACATTTCGTAGACCACGTACGGTGGCAATCCCTGTCTACACTCCTCAAAACTTTAAAACGTATATTAAAATTTTTTATTTCATTTTGTTTGAGCTCTTAAGAATAAGAATTACATATATTATATTTTTGTTGTCTTGCTAGCTCATAAGACGTAATTGAAGAATGTGTCTAAGCAGCTTACGTTATGCTGTCAGTCTTGCATGTGATTATACATTTGTTAGATTAACCAAAAGTATTGTTATAATAAGTAAAATACAGTAATATCAAAATATATATCAATAATATAACTTGAATCACAGGTGTCACATCTAGAATAGAATAGTAAATATTCGGGGTACTGACTTCCAGTGGAGCAGAGTATTGCAATCATGACTGATCTTTTGTGCTTCTAATCGGCCCTATCTGATCAAAAAACATTCGAATGAAATGTCAGCTATTCGAATTTTAATTTTTTATTTATTTATTTTCCTTATTTGATTTAATTTTTTTTTTTTGCCATATTTTTATTATTTTAATTTTTTATATTTTTCTTGCTTTTACCCGCTTTTAATTTTTACATTCATCTTTGTCTTATTCGCTTTTATATTTCCTTTTTCCTTCTCTCATATCTCGTCTTTCGCTCTATATTCTTATTATCTCTTTCATTCCCTATTACTCTCTTTTTTATTATATATGTCTCTTATTTTTATTACTTCTATCTGTTAGTATTTCTATCCCTCTTTCCTTTTCTAAGTCATATATATCTGTCATCATTTCTATCTTCCATTATTTCTTTCTTTCATTATCTCTATCTCTCATTCCTTCTCTAACACTTCTATTATTTCTTTCTCTCATTATTTCTATCTCTCATTCTCTCTCGTTCTTATTATTTCTTTCTCTTATTATATCTATCTCTCATTATGTCTATCTTTTATTATTTCTATTTCTCATTATATATTTTTTTCATTATTTTTATCTCATTATTTCTATCTCTTATTATTTTTATCTCTCATTATTTCTACATTTCTATTTCTCATTATTTCTGTCTCTCATTATTTCTATTTTTCATTATTTCTATCTCCCATTCTCTCTCATTATGTCTATCTCATATTATTTCTATTTCTCATTATTTCTTTCTTTCATTATTTTTGTCTCTAATTATTTCTATCTCTCATTATTTCTTTTTCTAATTATTTCTTTTTCTAATTATTTTTTTTCTCATTATTTTTTTCTCTCATTATTTTTATATTTAATCATATGTATCTCTCATTTTCTATATCTCTTATTTTCTGTATCTCTCATTTTCTCTATCTTTCGGTTTTTTTATCTCTTATTTTCTATATCTACTTCTCTCTCCCTCTCTCTCTCTCTCTCTGTCTCTCTCTTTCTTTCTGCTTCCCTACTATCAGAAGTGATTTATAAACTTGTAAGACATGTTAAGTAGTCCTTAATGACATTAAACGCTATCCTTATGACACCTCTTCTTCCTACTGGGTCTTCTGCTAAAATATCTTTTCACTAACTGTTAAAGTGGTTATGACAACGACTAAGTGTGATTTTTTTGTTAAATATTTTACCCGCAAAAGGCAAACATCTAAATTTTTTATTAAAAATTTTTGTGTTCTTATAAATTTGCTCTAATTTTTTTCTACTTTTTGTGTAAGCAACAATTAAACTATACAAACATAAATATTGTTCTACATGATAAGTTCTAGTTTGCTTGTACAAGTACACGATCCTACTTACATATCTACACACATTTCGCCACATATTTATAAGAATAACTACATATATACGAGTAGGTATATACGAGTATGTACTGGTTGTTATGCCAACCAGTACACTTTAGTAACACTAGAATTCAGTATATCTGTTACGTATTTGGGTATTTGAGATATTTGTGTATGTTTTGCGTGTTTTTGTTGTTGGTCTACTAATGCCGTTGAAGAACTTAAAAATATAGCTTATCTTTCTAGCGTATTATTTGTTTTTTACACTTTTATTTAGACGAGAATTTATAGCGTGTTGTCGCGTAGTCACATTTTTTACGCATATAAACCCATCACTAACAGCAACACCAGCAACACCAGCAACGCCGCCGCTAACCCACATATCGGACCACAGCGCTCCATTGCCATATTTCTGGATGAGCACGCATATACAACCAGTGCTAATGTGCGTGCTACGGGCATATACCCAAAATGCAATTTGTGTGGGCGCAAACGCTGAAATGTCAACCAAGGTAAACAGTCTTTAGCTTGGATCAACTTCAGAATTTGCCTTTGATATTAAATGCTGCAGTTGTCTTAGAAGTGATTTTTTTCAGTTTTGGGTCTTTATTCTTGCTTTTTGTAAATCTTGACGTTTCGCAATCCTGTGATTTTTAGATTCTAGACACTTCTCATTCACTTTGTGTACGTGTCTTTATGATATTTTCTTGTTTGTTCGAATGGATTTATTTGTGTAAGCGTTAAAATTGTGAAAATGATAACAGCTTACTTAGACTGATTAGATTTGTTGACAATAAAAATAAATATAAAATTAAAAAAACAATTCTTAATAAAAATCTTTACACAGAAAAGTTTTCAAAAGCCTTTTAAGACGAAATCCAAAGTAAATCCGAAAAATTAATTCACTCATTTGTATAAATAATGATACTCTTATTTTTAAATAACACTATATAACTATTATATATGTACTTCATTACAATTATTTAACGAATTTCGCAATTGTTTCATTTATTTCTGAAATAATTAAATTTTATATTTACATTTGTCTAACCTTCAAATAAGGGAATTAACAAACGCCGTAATCCAAATTGTGAGGAATGTAAATGTACAGTAATCTCTATAGAATATATGTAGAAAGCAATACTTTGTATTGTATATAATGAACAATACGTACATGTGTCTAATTTTTAAAAAATTTAGTCTATTTAGCACGGGGAGATACGCAGATCTTAGATCAATAACTGAATAATCATGAAGCTTATAAGGAATACATAAATTAGTCAAAGAGATGGGTGGGACTCTGTAGTACCCCCAGCTATCAAAGAGTAAAAGTGCTCAGTTGCGCTGACTCGAAAAAAGGATCAGCATACATACATGTAAATTCGCTGGCTAGATCTATTGTTAATATGACAAATTCCTCTAGACTAAAACGGAATGATGGACTTGCACCCCGCTTTCCTACAGATCACTCTGATTAATTCAACATATACGCTATGACATATGAAGCCCCTTAAAATTATTTACAATTTTAAAATTTTTAATTCAACATTAACTGAAAATATATCTGCAAACATAAGTCCAGCAGTGACATCTAGTCAAGTACACAAAAGCTAAAATACACTTAACGTATGGCTAAAACTATGGGGACATAAAGTGAACTTCTCTAAATCATTATAGTACCTTCAAGTGTTCTCAAATATAATAAAAAAATATTTTATTTTGCAAGAATTTTTACCAAAAGAACTTAAAAACGTTATCGACCAAGCACCGTACGATATAGCCCTGTGTAAGTTTATTCTACTCATGAAGCTAAAACTATCACTTCGAAGTAGAGATAATTTCAAGTCGATTGCGGCCATAAAAGAAAATTTATTGAAACAATTTAGCGTTAAATATAAATCAGCCTATGAAAATTTTATGGATTGGGTAAAGCGATAGTATAGTATAGTTATGTTACAGTCAATATGTATGATCTATTTTAAAAACGACAAAATACACTTTGAGTCATTGATTTTCGAGCATTTCATTTTATAACTCTTGATACTTTGTGCAATGAATGCGTTCACAATCTATTGCAGATCCGATTACTCTCATTATATAAAAAGTCTTAACTCAACGACATCTATGAGTGAATAATGGTAAATAAATGATGTACTTATTCATATATTACTAAATATATTACTTTTTAAGCGATTGTCTTATACTAAAAGGAAGCATAAGATAATGGAAGTATTCTACATCCGAATTTTGTTTTCTCATCAGTGACTATTATTGGTGTAAAAATAGAGCTATTCAAACTTTTATATATGACTATAAAAAATTCCTTGAAATCACGGCATTTGTATTCGAGCATTTTCTTTAATATATTTTTGCGAAACAAAACGTAGCTTAAAGCAAATTAAATAGAAAGAAAATTTGCTATTTGAATAACTTAAACACCTTTGAGTAACACAAACATCCTTGGGCAGCTAAAATACTCTTGAGTACCTCAAACATCTTTGAGCAGCTCGAACATTTTTGAACAGCTCAAACGTCTTTCTGTACCTCGAGTATCTTTGAGCAGCTAAAACATCTTTGAGCAGCTAGAATATCTTTGACCAGCCCGAACATCTTTCAGTACCTCGAATATCTTTGAGCAGCTAAAATATCTTTGAGCAGCTCGAACATTTTTGAGCAGCTAGAATATCTTTTACTAGGTCGAACATCTTTCAGTACCTCGAATAACTTTAAACGGCTCAAACATCTTTGTCCAGCTCGACCATCTTTGACCAGCTCGAATACCTTTGATCGGATCGAACATCTTTGACAAGCTCGAACATCTTTGAGCATCTCAAAAATAATTAAATACCTTAAATGTCTTTAAGCAGCTAGAACATCTAGCTATATTGCTAAATGCTATATTTTGAAGAATCGAAAATATTTCTTGGATTTTTCCAAGTCAATTTTTCCATCACAACACAGCAGTATTTTTTTCTATATTCTTAAAAATATTATTATTTTTTATTAAATTATATAGTAATTTTTTTTTTTTAATTTAAAAATCTTATTTGTTTATTTATATTTACTAAATAAATATTCAATATAAATATATTTGAATATACTTATTAATATATTTTTGTTTTATTTTTTTTTTTTCAGGTAAAACTCGCACAAAAGATAAGTATCGTGTTGTTTATACAGACTTTCAACGCTTGGAACTTGAAAAGGAGTATTGCACATCACGATATATAACTATACGTCGCAAATCGGAGCTGGCTCAAGCGTTATCGTTATCTGAACGGCAGGTGAAGATTTGGTTTCAAAATAGACGGGCCAAGGAGCGTAAACAAAGCAAGAAAGGCAACGATCCTACAGTAATGAGCAGCATGCAGCATGGCGACTATGCAAATTTGATTGATGCAAAAGCCAAATTGGATCCATTACACTTGCAACATTCACTCCATTCAATCAGTCCTATGGCTATGAGTATGCCACCAGCGATGAATTTGCATCACTTCAACAGTCATCACCATGCGTTGGCCGTCAGTGCAGCACATTCACATCAATTGCATCAATCACCACATGCGCCCATGTCGGCCAGTGCCGCCGCAGTGGCGAGCGTTGGTTCATTATCGATGTGACAACCTTACATGCCACAAAACAATAGCAACACATACACGAGCAGCACTTACGAGTACAGCAACAATACTACTAACAACAATATCGATAATAGCCACAACGATAGCACCATCATTGGTAACGACCATATTGCAACTGGTGCAGACGAGGTTGATGCAGCGTTTGCTGCAGTTGCTGCAGCAGCTGCTGTTGTCGCTAATACAAATATGCAACAGCGTAGTTATTGTAATAATATTTGCCATGCTGCCACTGTTGCAGTCGTTGGTAATTCTTTAGTTTAGTGTAGGATTTGTTTTTTGCAGCAACTGCAATTTTTACATAAAATAGTTTTTTTTTTTTTTTCTAATAGTAAATGAAATAAATGGCATTAAATTGTAATCGCTCTACAGGCGTTGACTTAAACAAATGTCACTACTTAAATACCATCACGCCTTTTCGGTGGATGTGGGTTATATTAACGTAAGCTAAGATTTATAATATTTGGTCAAAGGGTAAATTTTAAGTTGCTTGCCGCATGTTGACACCCTACACCCACAACGATACTGAACAATTCGTATCGTTGTTTTTTATTTGTACAATTAAGCTCCTCTTGTAAGCAACAGGGACAACGTGGCGTATGCGGTACAATTTTTGACTTAAAGGCACATTTAATGCACAATAAAATAAATTACAACAACGCACAGTGTACACTGAAAAAAATTACACTTTCTTCTTAGATAAGTAAAGGCAACTTAAAATGCACTCAACCAAATTTAATTTGAAGTTAATGTTTTTAAATTTTTTATTGTTTTGTTTTTAAATGTATTAAATATGAGTACTTTATTAATAATTAAATATCTTATTTATATAAATATATGTGAATGTTCGTTTCTTTGTTTATGATGACGTCTTAAAAATGAATTAAGTAGTAAATTTATTTACAGTAACCGTATGTATCATATGTATCGTATGTTCTCCCACTTCCCCCTAGCCGTCCCAAACAAAAACTTTTATAAGCTACTTAATTAAGTTCTAAGATTTTTAGTTTTAATTTAGTTCTAAGGCTTATAAAAAAAATATGTGTTGGCGAATTCTAATTTAATTGGATAATTTGAATTTAGTTCCCTTTTTTAAATTCCGTGCAATTTTCAACTGCATTATTATAATGTATAAACTTAAAAGAGATGTGCATTATAATATTCGGTTTTAATTAAACGTACTTTCGCTACTGCATGATCCTTAAGACACTATTTTAGAAGCAGGGTTTTTTGTTATTTGTTTTTAAAAGTTATATGTAATAAAAAAATAAAATAAATTTATTTTTAAAATACACAAATTTCTATTTACATATGCAAAGGAATATAAATATCATAATTAATTACAAAAGTGTAATAAATACCAATAATATACTTATACTACGAGTGTAAAGCAAAAGTACATCCTCATGTTTTAAATAAAAATAAAAAAAATAGGTTAAAATAGAATTAAATAAATAAAATCACTGTTTGAAAATTGTAATGATTTTATTAGCAAAAAAAAAAAAAAAAAAAAAAACTTAAATTAAATTTAACAAATTATTTTTAAATGGATTTCCCATTGTTTAAAAGAAAAATTTATTTTTCATTTATGCGCAAAAAAAAGGCAACTAATTTAATTATTAGATTTTTATTGAAAACAATTTAAAGAAATATATATATATATATATATATATATATATATATATAACATATATTGTAATTATTTTATTTTTAGGTTTACGTTTAAAGTTTATTTTTCTCGATTTAAGCACACGTCTTAATATGTATTTATATATTTTAAATATAAAATTTAATTAATTTTTAGCAAAACAAATATGTGAATTTAAAGAAACAGAATTAATTTTAAATAAAATGAAATAAAAACCTAATTGCGTTTTAATTTTTACGTCTAATATAAATTTCAGTTAATCTCAAAAGAATTTTCGAATTGGAAATCCGCTGATATTAAAATCTAATCTACAGTATATTAATCATAAATGATAAGCTGTTGGAGATTTGTTGTTCAATTAGAATGTGATAATAAGTAGATTATCTGTCCTGGTTTAGGATATCAAGTTTGAAACGTAAAGTAGAATACAGTTTTCAACTCATCCGCTAAGCCACAACCCCTACAAAGTGCATTATAGGGCAGACCTCATAAGATGGTCTATATAGGTTTTCACAGTATGTCTTCTTTGTACGCAGTGACCTATCAGTAGAAATATTATTGTAGTGCAGTACAGGTTATCCCTTAATGAATTAGCTGAACGATATGTGTGTTGTCCAAATTGGAGCAGATCGTTATTAAGATCTAACAGGAATTTTTAACTATCCAAGTTTATTAACAATACCCAGATATTTTTGTTTAAATATTAGTTTGACCGTTGAAAGTGAGATACCAATATCAAAGAAAGAAATATCAGGCAACAAAGCATGTGTCCCTGTGCCTAAGAGCCCATGTCAGCTGGACATTGATAACCTAGCTTCCACGTTAATGACATTGCGGCACTCTCGCACTGTTAAGGATGTAGCTGTAGCGTCTACTAGATATTTGATTACAACTTATAGTTCCAGAAGATTACGATATTTAAATGGTGGATCTTATTGTATATAACGCATTTCACTGAGTAAGAAAAAATGCTCTACCAGTGATTAATCATATGATTTTGAAAGCCAATATACGGCACGATTTCTGTAGACAATATAGCCATCAAGTGATAATATAACATATAGTATAGTCTCGTTTAATCCAAATTATGTTCACCCATACATGAAAAACTAAATCTGTTACCTTTAATTCTGTTACTTACCAAAGCTACTGTAGTGAAAGTGAGTCTTAATATGTTATTATAGAAGCAGTCTGTAAACATTTTTCACTTAAGATGTACTTTGAATCCTCACATACAAACAATCGTCCGGAGCAATATGTTGATCAACTGAAATCTGTAACAATCAGAAATTTCATCAAAATTGTGCATGACTTTATCAAAGACCAGATAAAATTTTTATTAAAGTTCAGAAAATAGGCGCTGAGCTTTCTCGAAAACTTGAACTTATTTCATTTTGATCAGTCTACTACTTGCTCAAAATCCAACATTCGAAGAATATAATCGAGGACCAAAGAGCAAAGAAAATCTGCTTTTACTGATAGTGAAATAATGAGAGACTAAACAATGAAATTTCAAGTGGTCGGCAAAAATCCAAAAAAAAAAATTGTTTGAAGTAGACAAAACTAAAAACAATGATTTATTTTTTGGATTCTAAAGATGCTGTTATAAAAAGTAACCCATTCACAAAGCTAAGCTCTTAATGGAGAATTCTATTTTGACTTTTTTAAGCGTTCGATTTATAATATTAACTGTTCTTCGTCAGAATGTCAAGTAGAAGAAAATTAACATTCGCTACACGATTGTCCGTCATATTATCTATCAATACTTCTAACCGAGATTTTGACTAGAAATCGAATTTCAACCGTCAACTAATCTAAGTATTCACTTGACTTGACTCTTACTTCTATCGGAATATGCATTTGCTTCTTAAAGGAAAAAGTGTTTTATGGATGTGGAAGCTATCTAAAAAGCTTGTTCCGTTTTTTTGTAAGATATATCAGTTAACAGTCTAAAACGCTCTTTTAAAATGATTTCAGATTGTGCAAATCGCAATGTTGAGCCAAATAAGATTTATTTAGAGAAAAATCAATCGGTTTACTACAAAAACTTTATTTGTGTTCTTATTTATTTATTTATTATCCCTTTATCCCTTTTATTTATTTCTGTTTGCTATGATTTCTGTTTACTATGTATTCCAAATACATTCTATCTCTTAACGTATTATCAACGTCTTGATTAATTTTATATATGAACTTTAGCTTTCAATTAGATTGACTATAAATTTTTATTTCAAATTTTTATAAAGAAATTATTTATATGAAAACTTACTTTACTGATGCAATTTGCTTTAAAATAATAAATATTTACATTTCATTTTCTATTAATTCCTATAATAAATTTTACTTGATATTTCCTTGGACTGATATATACTGTCCAAATTACTTGGACTTTTGTTGAGTACAAAATTTTTAATTTTAATCTGAATCTCAAGTGCACTTGATAGTTATTGCATTTCTGTCGAAAAATGCTTTAAAATTGAATATTATCAATCAACTTGATTTTGAATTTCGTTTTATAAAAGTTTTGAAATATATAGGTAGAGATATCACCCTAATCTTAACAAATTTTGTAAATAAATGCAATGGGGTTTTATAATAAATATTTAATGTTATATGTGCATTTATTATATTGTATTCACAAAAAATGTAAATAAACATAACATAAATATAAACGTGTATAAAATATATAATATTAATTAATATAAATAGGGGTAGAACACAACTATTTTGAGGGTTCTTGTTTCCTGTCTAACACCATCCAACTCATCCATCATCTCTCCTCAGAATATATTTAAAATTTAATTTTAATCTCTAATTTTAATCTTTAATTAAATTTAAAATTGCTTTTAAAAAATATTTAATGAAAATTTATATTAAAATAAATATGTCAAGTAAACCCATTTCTTTAAAGACAATGCTTTCTAAGTGAGCCGATTTGTTTAGTTATGTTAACCTTAAAGATCTATAAGATCAAGAAACTAGATAAAAACTATTACTAAAAGATTATCGATTAATAAATAATGATTAAGTAGAAGTAATAATCTTTTTATTAAGCATAGTGAACAATATCCAATGTCAGGTTTTCCATTTTAAAAACCTATATGCACAATAGGTGTCACCACCGCTAACAATGCAACTAAAACATATAGGAGTACAAATGTGAAATGTTTCAGAATAGGTAAAAATTATTTTGTGCATCGTAACTTGGAGATCTATCGTCATGATCCCCAACAAAAAACAAAGACTTAAGTAAGGTGCAGAACTTGTTCCATAAGGTTATCAATGCCAAACTTACTTTAAAAGAAGAAGGAAGACTAAATCAAAAGTAATTAAGAAAAAGTTAAACATACTTTAATATAAACATAAAATTTTTTCTTAGTTTCGATTATATATACGTATTATTTCGATTATATCCAGATATTAAGCATGCATTAAAAAGATAAAGCCAATGTTCTTATACATTAGTTAAATTTAATATTTAAAGTAAATTTTGCTGATACCGACAACAGACTCTGTCAACAATCATTTCGCTGTCAAAATATTGACAAATACATCTTAACTAATAACCTTTTCACCACAAACACAATTTACTAATCAATCCCTCAATATTTCTATTACCCAAATGAGTGGAATACATCACTATAATCAGTGACTAATAAAATATTAGAGCCATTTTTTCTAATA